GATCCGATTTAAATTGGATTGGTTTGGTTATCATATAATAGTGGATTTGATTGGTTTAAAAATTTTACCAACCGATTAAATTGGATTGGATTAAAAAATATTAAAATCCGAACCAAATCACACCGCGAACACCCCTAACCCAAATCTTAAGACATTTAAGTCACTTGATTAATGTTTCGAATTCCACTAATGTTTTAAAAAATTCCTCTTTTCTAATCTCAAAATTGTAAACTATTCAAAAAAAAAAAAAAATCATTCTTTCTTACCCTCTGAGCTTCTAATATTTTTTTGGTTTAATACCCAATTTGGTCCCTGAACTTTCATTTCATTTCAAAACTTAGTTCGTCCTTTAACTACAGAAAGCACCCAAGTGGTCCTTTAACTTCATTTTTCTGGAACCCAAATGGTCCTTCCGTTGACAGGCTGCATACTTGGCACGTTAAGTGTCCAACAATTACCACTTTTAATTTTTTCATGCCTACGTGGAAAAACCAACTCAGCCAATTTTGATGATATAGCACCATTTTCTTGCATGGAATTACAAAAACCATCTCTTACATGGAATTACAAAAACGACAACCGAAGACCCACATGCCTAATATCTGGTGATTCTAAGTAGCAATACACTAGAAATCAAACCAATGAAAATCAAAAAAACCAAACATATCACTTCACTGATCATCACAGCTTTTGAGTATCTCTTCTCCAGCTTCTTCACTTTCTTCTCCAAAACACTCACCTTTCTATCCATTAATCCACTGTGTTTCTTCAATTGCAGATTTTCTTGCAACAATTTCCCATTTTCAGTCAACAATTTCCCATTTTCCTCCATCAATCTTCCATTTTCCAACAAAAGCTCATCTTTTTCTTGCATTATTCTCTTTCTCTTTAACAACTTTGCATTCTTTATCTTTCAAAACCAGCAGCAACTCCATCGCTCTACCCTCGATTTTTTCCTCACCAACTAGGAAATGGAAATAATTGCAAGGATTCTACATAAAAATCTTGTTAAATAATCAATTGAGAAAAACCTAAACCACTGGCAAAAAAGACAGAGATATTGTATAATTACCTTCTTCTTAGGACAACATCTAAACCTCTTACCCATGCTTTGGAAAGTAAAGGAAGTCCGAATAACAGCATTTAACCCACAGTTGCATCTATTATCTTCACTTCTAGACTCTATACATTCTACAAAGCTTCCACTCTCAAATGAACCTGAACCCGAACCCAAACTCCGTGCAGAACCAGCTTCCATTTTATGATTCTCACAAGCCCAAGACAAATAGCAGAGGATTCGGGTTCAAGGGAAGAAGAAGGAATAAAAAATGCAGATGATTTCGGGTTCGGGTTTGAAGAAGAAGGAATCACAAGACAAGGTGCAGGGGATTTAAGGTTCGAAGAAGAAGAAGGAATCAAGATTTACAGAGGATTTAGGGGTCAACGAAGAAGGAATCAAGGGTTTCGAGAAGAAGGAAACAAGAGTGGTTCTAGAGGATTTATGGGTCGAAGAAGAAGGAATCAGTTTGATCTGCAGGCATCATCGATTGCAGGAAGCAAGCTTTCTTGATTTCTGGAAACTAAGCCGTTGGAAACATGGAAGTAAATACCGGAATGGTTGCCGATTATTACCAGAAGATTTAGGGGGTTTCGAAGAACAAAGGATCTAGGGCTTAAAGGGGCAAAGGGGCAAAGGGCAAAGGAAACAGAGAGCAAAGTGAAGAGTCTGTAAGAGGAAGGGAAGTTTGCATCGCTAAAAGCAGACAATGACATGTTTGCCCACTATTTTGTTTTATTTAGAAAGGCTGGAGGGACAAAAAAATCAAACGTGGACTGAAAATGGTGCTATATCATCAAAATTGGCTGAATTGGTTTTTCCACGTAGGCATGAAAAAATTAAAAGTGGTAATTGTTGGACACTTAACGTGCCAAGTATGCAGCCTGTCAATGGAAGGACCATTTGGGTTCCAGAAAAATGAAGTTAAAGGACCACTTGGGTGCTTTCTGTAGTTAAAGGACGAACTAAGTTTTGAAATGAAAGTTCAGGGACCAAATTGGGTATTAAACCTATTTTTTTCCCAGGACTTAATGCATAAGTTTAATTAGTTGAGAGTTTAGCTTTTATCAATTATTTAAAATTTTTTTTTACAATTTTAAAATTTTCATGCTAAAAAAATTGTTTAATCTATATGTTAATAGTATAAATTAAAAATGTATTAATTATATATTTTTCAATTAATTTTTATAAAAAAATAAAATTAACTTTAAAATTATCAACTATAAAATAAAAATTATCTAAATGATTTTAATATTAAAAATAATATCTTCCTTTTATATTTTTTAATAAAAATTTATTAAAACCTAATATCTTTAACATATTTTAACTTGTCTTTTGGATATAGATTAAATATATAAAAAATAAAAAAAAGCGTTTTATCCTTGTTGTCCGAACTGGTGTTTTGCTGTGTCCCTCACTCTTACCACACATGGCAATCTCTGATTGGTTAGCTATTTCCAGTCATCGTGTTGGCCGAGTCTCCAATCTTTCCAAGGTAGGGGTGGGCATCGGTCGGTTCGATGACCGAACTGACTAATATGGATGGTTAACCGAGTTTTTGATTGAGAAAAAATGAAAACCAATTACCAAATCCAATTAGTGTCCATTGTGTTAGTTCGGTATTTTTTTTTTTTTTTTTTTTTGGTTACCCAGTATATGAGGCTTCGCATCGACTAATCCGGATCCGACTCACGTCGCGCACCTGGAAATGGTGGGTGAGTCTTCCAGCGGGGGCTGCTGCGTACACAAGATCTCAAACTCGAGACCTTGTTTAAGCTGGAACAAGCCGCTTACCACTTGATCCAACCCCTCGTTGGTCGGTATCTTTTTTTTCGATGTTGTTATTTTTGGTTTTGGTGGCCACCGAAATTAAAGTAAAAGCAAAGAAAATTTATAAAACTTAACCAAATTACAATGTAAATATCAACCTCTCAATTTTTAATATCATTCTCAAATAATTTTTTAAATTTGATAAAAAACTATAAAACATTATTAAAAAAGTTTAAACTAATGATCACAAAAAAATATTAGAAACTGTTTACACCCATTTTTGCAAAAAATAGAATGGTGCCACGTGTCATCCATGTTGACAAGAATTTCATTTGTTAAAAACAGTTGGAGTAAATCTCTCTAGATAAAGTTGAGTGGTTATTTCCACAACTACAGTAAAGCCGTTCGTTTGTTGCGAACTTCCAGGAAGATAATCGGTAACACAAACAAACTAATCTGTTCGTTTCAAATATCACGCTACCATTAGTTTTTCAAGATTGCTGCTGCAAATCTCCAAGCATGCTGCCAAGGGGTGTTTATTGCTATAAGTATGTAGAGAAGAAACGAAGCAAAGAAGACTAACCTCTCACACAACTAGCCCGGCGCTATCTACATTTTAGTTTTACAAGCAATGTCTTAGTTTAAATCCAATTTTCTTAAATAGCTTTCCTAATTTAGTCTTTAGCTCTACACTACCATTAATTTTAATTTTGATTTTTGTTATTTCATTGTGAACATCTCCATTCGATATATTTAGTTTCTTTTGCAATTTAATTTACTGCACTTTGCCCCAAAATTCATCATCCTAGCTTCTTTTAAGTCTAGTTTTACGCTTTAGCTTTTATTTCGTTTTCTACATTTTCATGCTTTTGCAGTAGCATCACGCTTTCTTTCTGCAACTTAGTTTTCCTGCCATGCACTCTCTTTCTTCTCTTTTTCTTTATTTTCCTCTTTTATTTTAATCAACAAATTAACATTTTGGCCCTAGTTGTGGGAAGTCCCTGATGTTCTTCCAAAGCAATTATTTACGGACCTTTATACAGGAATGAACCATCGTTTCTGCGACAATCGTCTAACCAGAGCGCATCTCATAATTTATTTAACCGATGCTCTTTCATTGACTCGCAATCGAGTTCCACGCTTGGAAGTAGTGAAGGTCACCACAAATCCCTTTTTCTCACTTTGAGCAAAGTGAGTGACACGTCTTCGCAGTCTTATTTGTCACACGGCCAGAAAAGGAGATTTTAGAGACAACAGAACACTAAAGAAAAATAAGGTAAGATTAAAGTTACTCGAGTGAAAAAATCAATGAAAATTTTCAATTTTTAAGGTTCAATTTGAATGCAGTTGATGAATAAACAAAAATTAAGTTTACATTTACTGAAATTCAAAAATAAGGCAAGATTAAGGTTAAAAAATCTCAAAAACTAATCAAATGCATACCAAAACAAGATGGAAAGAAGTTGCTTGTTGTTTTTACTGTTGTCTTTGCTTCAACGCAAAAGCTTCTAATAATTGCTAAATATTATAAAGGAGAGAAATTTGATGGTTGCTGGTTAAGTGGATGAATGTGTTTTTACTAATACAATAGCAAGGAGAATGAATAGGAGCACAGTGGAGACAGAGGGAATGAACGGAGAAAAAGTGAGAAACAAAGGGTTAAGATTTAAGGAGATTGTTGGGGCTTGAGTATTGTTGTGTATCTTGTGGTGGTCATGGTTGGTGCTTGATGAATGGTGGTGGTATGCGTGCTTTTGGGGAAGGAACCGGAGCAGAGAATGAGAATATGAGATGGTGAGATGTATGTAAAATGAATGAATTTGGGTTAGGTTTAGCTTTTTACGATTAGTATTAATTTATATTACATAATTTTTTAAAAAATAAATAAATAAATAAATAAATCTTGATTTAGAGGGAAGTAAAATAATATTTTAAATTATAGAAAGAAATAAAATAATATTCTAAATTATAGTGGGGAGTAAATATACTTTTTTTTACGTTTGGAGGGAATTTCTCCCGCCCAAAGAGTCCCCTCCCCAGTGGCAGTGGCAGTGGCTAGTCCCATCAATTAAAAAAAGGGCCCAAGAAAAGAAAAATAGTCTTTTTGGGCCTTGGTTTTTTCGGTCAACAGGGGGCTTTCATCGGGCTTCGGTTTTTGGGCCTGCAAACCAAAGCCCGCCCGATTGTCCCTCGGTTTTTAACCCGAAACCGCCCAAAACACCCGCACCCGAAAATTCGGTAAAATACCTGCCAGCTGTTGCCTTTTGGTCGGTTCCACGGTTTTTGGTCGGTTGACTGAAAATTGTCCTCTTCCAAGCCGCGTTCACAACTTCTTAAGCTCCTCAACTTCTTCGTTTCAGGGGCTTGTCACTTTCTGTTGAAAAAGTTCAAGGGTTTTTGCGATCTTCACAAACTTCCTTTGCACTCTTATCCAAGAATTCATTTTCAGATCTAGCCATGGTGAAGCCTGAATTTGCTGCTGTTTTGTTCTTGTCACTTATCCACTTCGCGTTCGCTTCGGAGTCGCGGGAGTTGTCACCTGTGCCGGCGCCTGAATCGGGCGATACTTCTTCTCTGGCACTCGCTCCTTCTCCGGTTGGATCTCCTGATTTTTCACCGCTTCCAGCTTCTCCTCCGTCTCCGGTGGCTCCGTCGCCATCAGATCTGTCCCCGAATGGATCCCCGACTAGTTCCCCTCCTCCAGCGCCAGGCGAGAGTGACATTAACCACATCAATGTTCCAGGCGAAGAGGAT